AAGGAGAGAAGGAAGGAGGGAAGGAAGGAAGGAAGGAAGGAAGGAAGGGGAAAGAAGAAGCAAAAGGATGGGAACCTGGCTCCTTCCTCCTTTCTTTTGCAGCCTTTGGATGAGAGAGCCTTGCACCTGGCTCCTTGCAAACTAATGGCATTAGCAGGTAAAGGGATCAGGCAGCTTGCATCATCGCAAGAAGCAATGCCTTTGTGCAAAGCTGGCTGGAAGGGATTGAAAGGAAATTAGAAATGGTCAGGAATCTTCTTTGAGGACAAAGACCCTCATTTTTGCAAACCTCCCTTGGCACAGGTCAAGGGTCCCACGCCTCAAGGTCCAGAAATCATTTTTGCTCAAGGAGTGGTTATAGTCACTTTGCGCGGGTCCTTTTTTATTTCACGTACTGGATATTTTTAATGTTTTTATCTAGCTATCTAAACCTGGTGGGTTGAGAGATGAGAGAGAATAAATGCAACAGACGGACAAATGGTGCCAACGCTATTTTAATTCTGGTGCCAAGTTAAAACTTGGCTTTTTATGAAAGCATTTTTTTGGGGGGGGGAGAGGGGGAGAACCTAAAGATTTTGTGTAAATCTGTACACATAACACAGCTAAAGGCTTGCTTTCACGTTTTAAAATTATCCAGTTGTTTAATATGTTTTTAGAATGCTGTGTGTGTTAAATTATAAATGGTTTTGGCTGATTTTATTTAAAGCTCCACAGAGTTTGCACAGTATGCAGTGGAGCTTTTAATAAATATAAATATTTTAAGAGATGTCATTAAAATGTACCAAAGTTCAGAATAGGAGGTGGATGGGTTTGGTGCCACCATCTCGGCCCGTGGCCGGAGGCCGAAGGTCCAGCGTCCATCCCAATTCATGGATGGCTTCCCCTTCCATTTTATTGTTATTTCTTCCAGGAAAACAACCCAGAGTTTCGTGGCACCTTTGAAGGCAAACAGGTTTATTCCAGTAAATGAGCTTTTGTGGATTACCATCCAATATTAGGGCTTCGGCAGGTGACTGCAAAGGCTTTCCATCCACCTCAGCTGACATCTTCCTCATTATCTAAGGAATTATTTCTTTGTGCCTTCAAGTCAACTTATGACTATCATAGGGTCTTCTTGGAAAGATTCTTCTTTTCAGGACTGGCTTTGACGTGGCTTTCATCTGAGGCTGAGAGAGTGTGACTTGGCCGAGGTCACCCAGTAGGTTTCCATGACCGAGTTGGGATTTGAACCCTGGCCTCCCAATGTCTTAGTCTTAACATTCAAACAATAATTTAAGCAGAAGGAAAGAACAATTCCTTTGCAGTTGTGGTTTGAGCATTGTACTTTTGGAGAACAGGGTTCGAATCCTCACTCAGCCCTGGAAACCCACAGGGTGGCCTTGGGTGAGTCACACTCTCTCAGCCTCAGAGGAAGGCAAGGGCAAACCTTCTCTGAAGAAATCCTGTCAAGAAAACACCGGGAGAGGATTGACATAAGTCAGCCAACATAGTGTCATGGTTTTGAGTGCTGGGCTCTTCGAGTGCCAGGGTTCAAATCTTGGCTCGGCCATGGAGACCCACTGGGAGAACTTTGGGGCAAGTCACACCCTCTCAGCCTTTGAAGAGGAAACCATGGCAAACCTCCTCTGAAAAACCTTGCTAGGAAACCCCTATTTTTGAGAGGCAACAGCTCTGAGTGTTGGACTAGGACTCTGGGAGACCAGGCTTTGAATCCGACCCACTTTGCTATAGAAACTCACCTGAGGGTCACCATAAATTGGGAAGGAATGGAAGGTGCACAAGATGAAATGTCACCATAAGGGTTTCCTGGGATCTCTTAGGGGGGTTGCAGACTGTCAAAAATAGTGTGAATTCAGTCCACTTTTAGGGTTAGGGTTAAGGTTAGGGAATCATGGGAACTGAATTTTATTGTGGCACTAGAGTTCTCTGACAAAGAAGGTTCAATGTCTCAGAAAAATAACAATTCCCATGATTCCCTAGCACTAACCCTAACCCTAAAAGTGGACTGAATTCACACTATTTTTGACAGTCTGCAACCCCCCTTAGTCCTAAGCCTTTTATGCGCTCCTGCAATGCGCTCTTGTGGAGGCTGCAGGCATTGCTTGCGCATTCGCAAACCTGAGCTTGAAGCCAGCAAACTTGGGGGCATTTCCCAGAAATACAGCCCCAAATCAAGAGGTCTTTCTCTCTGGCCCTCCACAAAGAAAGTGCCATGATGGTGGGAGGATCAGCACACAGCCATCGATGGGTGAGAAATTCGTCTTTGGGGGTGAATAATTCACAAGAGTTGGCAATTCACCACAGTTGCTGCCCAATAGCTTTGCACGTGAATGGACTTCTGCTTTGCAGTCTTTTATACTCATGCATTTCTATTTACTGTTTGTTCATTTATTGATAGCTCACACACGGGCACCAAGGAAGCCCCCTTTTTGGGAAACGGCTTAGCATCCAATCTCACCCCAGAGGCACCTGAATCCAGCCCTGGTGTCTTTCATTCCAGTCCCATTTAGGGTTTTTCCGGAGACCCAGTGTGGTGTAATGGTTTGAGCATTGGACTATGACTCTGGAGACCGAGGTTCGAATTCTCACTTGGCGATGGAAACCCACTGGTCACATTCGCTCAGCCACAAATGCAAAGCACCTCTTGAATCAATATTGTCAAGAAAACCCCATTGTAGGGTCACCTTAGGGTGGTCATGAATTGAAAAGGATGTGAAGCAACCACTTTTGAAAGTCCCTCTCCTACACAAATGTGAAAGGCACGGGTGTCAAGTGCCTCACAGGAAAAACTGCATGTGTGTGTGTGTTTTCTTGATCTTTGGGGGGCATTAGGAGGCATTTTGGGCATACTATTGGAATTGTTTCTTTGCAGAAAGCTGCCCAATTGTCCAAGCAGCAGACATGTTAGGAGAAGATTTGAGGGCGACAGCAACGGCCATCCTTATCATCAACATGAAGCCATCAACAGCTGTCCTCCCCATTGAAATACTGTGACTCCGGCATTTCCCAGACCACGCTTGGGAGATAGTGTCCAGTTGGGCACCACAATTCAAGAGGGATATTGGCCAGCTGGAGCGGGTCCAGAGGAGGGTGACCAAAATGGTATAAGGTCTGGAAACCATCAAGCCCTCTGAGGAGAGACGTAGGGAGCTGGGGATGTTTAGCCTGAGGAAGAGAAGGTTAAAAAGGGACATGATAGCCCTGTTTAAGTATTTGAAGGGGTGCCATGTTGAGGAGGGAGCAAACGTGTTTTCTGCTGCTCCAGAGATTGAGACATGGAGCAATGGATGCAAATTACGGGAAAAGATTCCACTTAAACCTTAGGAGGAACTTCCAGATGGTAAGAGCTGTTTGGCAGTGGAATGAGATGCCTTGGATTGGAAGGTGTTGGAGTCTCCTTCTTTGGAGAGTTTTAAATAGAGGCTGGATGGAGCGCTCTGACTGTGTCTTCTTCCATAGCAAATGAGGTTGGGTTGGATGGCCTCTCAGGGTCCCTTCCAACGCAACTTTCTTTTGGCCAGAGCCTATCTCAAGGGACACGTCCCAAGAAGTGCTTGCTGCCTATTTTTTTTTCCAGCCCAGAACTGGAAGGTGTGCCCCAATCCTGCAAATCCTCATTGACCTCCATCGTGAGGCTGGTCTGGACCAGAAGCCCTCTTTCTTGACCCTGTAAGACCGAGGCCAGTTGGGTGCCTGGCGTGGCATGGACTCTCCCTTGAAGCCTCTTGATGGGTTAACATCATCTGCTAAGTCACTGGAGCTGGCAGGCTTCTTGCACCTCATGGGACGGATGCCAAGAGGCAGGATTAAGAGCAGCCAGTTTGGAAGTGGACCAGAGAGACCAACCTGGGCTCAGGAATGGAGGGAAGTACGGTAAGAGAAGTCCCACTAACAGCTGGTTAGCTCTGCTGAAGAGGAAGGATCGTCCCCAAGAGTTCAGTAGGACAACAGTCCCCTGCAAAAGCTGGGGGGTTCTGGGAGTTGTAGTCCTCAGCAAGTAGCTCTTTCCAAGCTCTACCTAACTGCTTCTGCTTCAGTGTTATGCTGGCCAATTTGGGTTTTTTGGGGGGTGGGG